TATTTAATATATTTCAAGAAAAAAACACCTTAAAAACAATATAAATATATGTTTTATCTTAACTTTTATTATTATTTTTAGTGTAAGGGTAGGGTTTTATTGTGAGTTGATTATGAAATTAGTAAGCACTAACTTATTTTTTTTGCTTGAAAATGGAAGTGATTGGTGTTAAATAGTTAATTTTATTCTAGATTTGTAAATATCAAGATAGAGTGTTCTAAAATAGAAAAATGGATTTAACAACAACTTGTTTGCTCTCTCTCTATTTGTGTGTGTGTGTGACGGTATCTAAAAATCTACTGTACCCTAATTACTTTAGTCGACTTGAGTTAATCTACTAAGAAGTAAAGCTTTTTAGTAATAGTAAACTCTGTTTACAAAACTCAAACTCAAGATTTTATTAAAGGTAAACAAGTATCGAACCACTTAAACCAACTATCATTAATTCCTTATTTATGTTACTTCTTATATTATAAATCAATTTTGTTTTGAAAAATCCATAAAATCCCCCCTATCTTATATTTTGAGAAACAAGGTAATATTGTCATTATATATGCTAACATGCAAATGCTCTCCTCTCTAGCTTTGTTTCGATCGTCTAGGGTACAACTAAGGGATGCTAAAGACTATGTGGAAGGTATTGTTTGTTTTGTAACTCAGAATATAAGCAAGAAGAGTATACTCGAAAAAATAATAATTCATACAAATCATCTATTCAGTTAACTTTTCAACGTAAGTTTTTCTTGCATGCTCTAGAATGAGACGTTGCTGGAAGTGTTGTTGTTGAAGAAAGAAGAAAATAGTTCTACATGTTTTGATGTTTTGAAAGCCTCAGAAGATGATTTAAACCACGATGACAATCTTGTAAATATTTAAATAATTTTTGTTGATTTTTATTTTAAGATGATATAAAGTGTTACAAAGTGTAATGTTATGAAGGTAAAATATAATTCTCATTAGACTATAGGATATTAAATATAATTTTTCTAAAGAATAACTAAAATCATGATTGATAATTTTCACCAAGTTGAAACAATATGTGCAACTAAAACCGTTATTGAAGAGATGTTTGAGAGCATTTCAACTAGAGTTTTTTTAAATTATTTTTTTGCTTTAGCTTATTTTTTATATTTTTATATTATTTTGGTGTGAAGATATTAAAAATAAATTTTTTTAAAATAAAAAATATATATTATTTTTGAATAAAAAATATTTAAAATACAATTTTTATGTGAGTACCAAACACCTCCTTAAAACCATGCTTCCCCTTCCCTGTGTTTCTTCTTCTCCCTTCAATTTTGGGTCATCAGCTTCATTTTTTGTCTTGATGAAACAAGGGTATAGTTGTCCATGACCATAAGGTACTGTATCCAGATGGAGCTGGACCAGTGTGGACTGGGGTCATTTTGGTAACTCTAAATGCACAATGAGGGCAAGGTCAACCGTCTAAATTCCTCCGTTAAGAGAGATTCTAAAACTTAACGGCTCTTTAAAAAAATAAAGTTTGAAAGGGAAAGATGGGCACGTCGTGCTTTTCAAGTTTTAAGCCTTTTCGGTGTTTCTAATTTTCCAAAAATAAATAAATAAATTGTCAAATATTTTACTACGATATTACCAGAATTACCCTCCTCCAAAAGCCCACCAAATATTGTCATGCCTTCTACTCCACTTAATAAAGTGACCTCATCGTATACCCATTTCGGTCAGCACGATTATAAAATTGAGTGCCTGTCGTACCAATAATACTCGTTGGACATGGAGAGAAGCTCGTTTGGTAAGTACGTGAATTATTTTTCTACCGTGTTATCGTTTCCTTTTCTTTCTTTTTTTTCTTAGATGTATAAATACGTTTTCAAGGGAGAGGATGTTCTTGTTGGTTTTGAAGTTCAATTTTAAATTTTGATTTGTATTAGAAAATCTCATCTAATGTTAAGGAGTTGTTGTTTGGTTATGGTTCAACCATGATTTTTAATTTTTTTAAAAGAAAAATATTAAATTAATATTTTTAATAATTTTTTAATGTTTTTAGTGTGCTAATATCAAAAATATAAAAAACAATTGGAAAAAAATATTATTTTAATATATTTTATAATAAAAAAATATTTTAAAAAATAACTTTTTTTTACACTTTTAAATATACTCTAACATATAATCTTCTCAGCCATAATATCAAACATAAATAATATTATAATAAATATTTTTAATTATGATTTTAGAAAAGTAAAATAAAAAAATATATATTTGATTAAAATTTTTATAAGATAGATTTTTGTATGTAAAATAAATAAAAAAAGCATGTTTTTATAAATAAAAAATAGGTTATTTTAGCTTTTATAAAATTTAAATTTAAAAAGAAATTATGTAAGGGTCTAATGTAAAAACCAAAAGATATTTCAATAATCAAATAGTTATTTTTATATAATTGGGTGAAAGGCAAATATTGCGGTTATATCATCACATAAAAATATATGACATGTCTGTTCATTCCTATTTTTAAATTAAATAGGACACAGGTCATTCCTATTTGCAGTCGTCCTGGAGCACCAAGGCAAGCAAATATTATCCTAAACTTCTAAATTACAACGTAAATAGAATTTTATAAAAATAAATAAAATAAAATAGGAGTGGATGAAATTTCCAAGCTGATCTGAGCCATTCAATTTTCTTTCACTGTCCGGTGGTTGATGATAAAATGACCGGAATTCTATGATCACAAGACTCCATTCCTTGACAAAAAGATAAACACGCCAACACAAGAAAGATCACAAAGGCCATATTCCTCGTTTACTTCACATGGGAGGTAGGGCCATAATGGAGCCTCTGTTCTTGACCTTTTCCTTGATGTTCATGCCTGTAAATTTCAAGTGTTCATCTTTGTGATCAATGAAACAGTTTCCATCAGCACACTAATTAGCCTTACATGTGTTAATCTCAAGCATTAATGCTTTGATCTTGATGCATTAATGTTTCCATCTAACTTTTTTTAAAAAAATTACTGATTTAATTTGAACGTGATGGGCTGGCCATCTTGGTGGTAGGAGGTTAATTTTCTCATAACTAGAAATTGTCCACTAACATTAATTTTCTCATAACTAGAAATTGTCCACTAAGAAGTGACATCGCTCTTCATTCACTTGATGATAAGACCAGTTTGGATCCTTGCAAGTGGCTTTTAAACATGAGGGAGGGAGTATTGGCTTTTAAATATTGTTTTTTAAAATATTTTTCACTTAAAAATATATTAAAATAATACATATTTTATTTTTTAAAATTATTTTTGATATATTAACATCACATTCATTATTTCTTTCAATGTTTGATGCTTCAACTCAATAATATCATTTTATTTAGGAATATAAGAAGTTATATTTTAGTGAATAATACTATTTTAAAAATAAAATTCATTATATGTTTCATACACCTCATCTCTACCACTTTTTATCACATTAATTTTTTTATTAATCTTTTTATTAAGTTGATTTTTAACTTTATTTTTGTAATATTTAAACATTTCAATAGCCTTCGTTTTTCTTCTAAATAAATATAAATAGTAATATATTATGCAATTATTTATAAAAGAAATGTTATATATTTTCTTATATCTGGTTTGCATAAATTGTAAATCATTAATATATTGATATATGAGTAAATCAAATTTAGAGGCATACTAATTCTTTCAATTATTTGAAAATAATTTTTTATATGCAAATATTACAAATAAATTAAGTTTTTTTTTAACATCTTAGAACATCATTTTTAATTTAGTTTCAGATATATTCATTAGTCATGATATTTTAAAATGAATTTCTAACAAAGAGGTGAGTATGTTTGATGTTACAAAAACTACAGGCTAAGTAAAAACAGTAAAGCCATGCACCAATTCTCCATTCCAAGACAAGAATTTATTTATCAATTAACTAATCCGTGGTGGCCAAGTGGTGCAACTCCACGCTGGCTTGTTGCAAGGAAATTCAACTTCTAAAATCATGAAACCATTCATGAATATGTGCAAGCTCTTTTGTTTTGTTCTCTTCAGCTGTCCCCTCAAAGCTAGAGCGACAAATATTGAAGTCAGAATGATCTGAATGGGGAACCGAATAAGAAAATATATGGAAGGGACAAATATTTGAGGTCTCAACCTTCAATGGAGCAGCATTTTTTGATTTGTTTAATTAACGTGTACCTGATCAAATTATGTATATCTCGGGCTAATTTTATAAGTTGTAAATAAATAATTATATAAGTTTTTAATAATTATAAATACTTTATGATAAGTAAAAAAATAAATTCAAGACTTCACCACGGGAAAAAAAAAAAGGGACAATATCATGGTATCTTAATGCTTTTATCGTACTAAGAACCTGAAACATGGATCATGCTTTCCATGTTAGAGACTCGTATCCAAATACCCACATCACCATTTTTTCCGCTTTGAGGTATGTATGCCAACTCTCTTGATCGATCGACCATTTTTTCCGCTTTGAGGTATGTATGTCAACTCTCTCGATCGATCGAGAGAGGGAGAGAGAGATTTGCAAAGAATAATAATTCAATTGTAGAGCAATCGGTAGCGTGGTTGTTTTCCATTGTCTCGGTTCCAGTAAAAGCTCGCCATGACAAGGACAGAGTGCTTTTGGGCCTCTTTGACCCAAATCTCAATCGACACTCATGTTCTTAATCTCTTTTCTCCCTCTTTCGATAATCAGCCCGTCTTCAACGAGCTTCTGCTTAATTAATACAGGAAGGGCTTCACTGTTCAAATATGAAAAAAAAAAACGTAGTGGATGGTTCTTAATTTTAATGTGGAAAGGAAAACAAAGACACTCAACTAGTAATAATAAACAGTAACAGCAGATTTGTTTTTTTATTCAGTAATAAAAGGTTTTTTGAATCAATTTATGTATCAATCAAGTCTGAATTATTTTATTTTTCCAAACTATATTACAAATATATATATTTCATATCGAGCACAAGCAGGCTTAATTTAGTGGTTGTGGACATTTATTCTAAAATTATTTTTCAGTGCTTCAGTGAGTCTCAGTCATTGATCATGAGAGGGCAATATACAACCTTCATCCATACCAGGACAAAACCAAAGGAAGAAAAAGACGACATTTACATTAAAAACAAACAAAAAATTTCGACATGAGCAAAATCATCAGATATCCTGTTTTCCGACTCATCTCCTCTCCAGGAAACTCCAAGAAGCAGTGGCGGCTCCTTCTATGAGAATTAATAACCGTCTTATTAATGATAATTACCAGATTAGGTCATATACACGCACACGCACATATACACACAGAAAGGTTTATTGTTGCCGACAGATCTCGAGCAAAATGGCCACTTCCTCTGTCAACGATCCAAATCATTTTTCACTATCCTGCAAAAAACTTATCTGCAAACATTAGAGACGATCCATAAACAAGGGAATAAGTTATCTCATGTGTATAAACTGAGAGAGAACCAATCATGAACGGTCAGACTTGGAGGCTCGGCGCTTTCTGATGCTTCAACTGACGAATTTCTGCTTGTCATTCTTCTGAAATCCCCGCGCGGTGTCCCAGCTGCATGCATACATGACCAAAGGCCCAAATTAGCATAAATACACACCAACCAAGCTTACAACGCACTGAAAGAAGAAGAAACATATGTACGTTCATACATAAATACATAATATATATATATATATATATATTAGTAAAAAGTTGATTAAGCTGGGAAATAGTATAGCATACGTGTTAGAGGTGTCCCAGGAGTGCTAGGTGGAGCCGGCGACTGAGGAGCTGAACCAGGATCCACAGAAAGGTTCCTCAGATTGGAACTGTTTGTTCTAATAATAGTAATGCTTCGAGTTACGTTCATCTCCCCATTGCTATTAGCTGAAGAAGCATTAACAGGAGGTGATGATCGTACAGGGAATGAATTATACTTTCGAAGTTTGCCAAGCCCAGTGTCCGGCATGGGTCCAGCAAGCGTTTCGTCCCAAAGCTTATGGAGAAATCCCATTAAAAGATAAACGATCAGATTTTCTCGTGCAACAACCGTGAGAGGCCTAAAATCAAAACAATTTTTTATTTTTGTTTTTTCGTTTTGTTGGACCTTAACACTTACGACTGTTACTAAGAGAGGGAAGGGGAGCGAAACGCAGAGAGAAGATAAGGAGAAGTTTTTATTTTCTTGGGTTTTTTTCTGCAATGAAATTGTTGGTTGGGGTTCTTTATAGAGGAAAGTTGAGAGAGAAGAAAGAGAGGGTAAGGCGGTGGATCTTGATGGTCATAATGACGCAATGGCTCCGGCTAAAATGGCTTTGTTAGCGGCCATCAAATTTATGTGGTAAATTTTTAAGGTCGGGCGCCGTACTTAGCTTGTCATTCAAGAACCTGAAAGATATAAGATAAAATATGGTTAGTTATTATAATTCAAAATCCAAAATGTCAGGGAAGTTATTTTTCACTGCGTTTGGATGATGAATAATCATGTATTTATATTCATCTTTTATCTTTTATAATTGAGGATTTTAGCGTATGTTGCTGGGTCTAAATTTCATGCAAATTAAATGGTTTTTTTTTAAAAAAAATTTAAAGACTTTCTAACATTTAAATAGATTATTTTATTATAAAAAGTTGCAGTAAATATATATTGAATTTTAAAAACAAGAAAGTTTATTCTTAATTTATATATGATAAATATTGATAATAAGTTGTAAGAGAATGACGATAATAATTTTTTTTTCAAGTTATTCAAAACATATTTATAGCTTAAATTTTTTTTTTTTATTATTCAAGGGGTTGTAGGTCTTCTTTTTTTCCATCTCCAAGTAGGAGGAAAACTCTTACAAACATCATTAATATTGATTGTATAGACGATTCTTAGAGGATTTCTTTTCATAGCTATGTAGAGAGATGATGACTCTAAATTCCTTACAAACATCATTAATATTGATTGTATAAACGATTTTTAGAGGATTTCTTTTCATAACTAGAATGTAGAGAGATGATGACTCTAGATTTCCACTATAAGTGCTCTATAAGGAGGAATCCTTAGTTCAAAAAGGTGTTGATCCTAGCATCTTAAATTTGATGTGCTATTAAATTCAAAAAAATTTAGGTTTGATATCTTACAAGATTCACAAACATTTAAGCTTAATGTATCCAAGTTTAAAAAGGTTGAGTTAATATCTTGTTAGATCTACATGTGCTTGGATTTAATATACAACCAAATATAAAGAAATTAGATCCAACATTTTATCGGATGAATATAAACTGGAGTCTAGCACACAGTCAAGCTAGAAAAGAGTTAGAGCCTGAAATTTTACCAAACCTTCTAGCTATGAGCTATGAGCCTTGATCTGTGATGAGCTTCTATAATGAATATTCTTTTTCTTAATCCCTTCTAGTCATAGGTTGATTGGGAAAAAAAGGATTTTTAGTACGTTGATTTATCACTTGGCAACATAAAAACGGAAAGTAAATGAATCCCGAAAAGAAAAAAGAAAAAAAGAGTAAAGTAGGCAAGGTTTTCTTTGAACAAAGAAAGACAAAAGATAGGAGTACCGTATGATATGGTCGCCATGCAAAAGTGAAAGTGTTCTCCTGGTTAAGAATTATGTGCAGGGATTTATACATAAAAACCAACAAGGATCCTACAATTCCAGAGAAGCAACAAACTTATTCCCCCCTAACGCTCGAGAATATCCTAATAGTCAGATCTGGATGGTAAAACAAGAAATCAATCCAACGTTCATCAGAAAAACTAACAGAATGAAAGAAGGAAAAAGTTACAGCGACAAGCCGACCGAGTTTATATATGACGAGGAAGAAACCCAAAATAACAGGAGGAAATGACTTGGTCAAGTAATGATGAGCTCGACATGCGATCCCACAAGTATATTTTGTATCCATTCTTACACGTCAACTGGATAAGGTTGCGAGTAAATCTTAGCTAGAACTACCAAACCTGGATGTCGAAGTGCTGTTGAAAGCAGTATGGCATCATCCTATGTAGCCGCAAGCAGAATAGCAAGTGTAGATTCCTTGCAAGACCACCTATTTTTCTGCTTATGTGGCATCAATCAAATTGGGAAAATAGTTGCCAGGAGAAGGAAACATCCCAGAGGATGTTCAGTGCGTGATTCAAAAATAAGAATAAATCATTATGAAAATAATTCAACCTTTGCAACTTGGACGCCTTTACCACTCCTCTAAAGTTTTTTAATCACTTGCCATCAATCTAAACAGACATTGTTCTTGACTAAGAGAATCAAAATTTGATGAATAAAGTTGATTAAATCTTCTAATTATTTATTTTGGGGAAAGATCTTGCTTTAAAGCTTAAAAATTGTCATCTATATATGCTTCATCACCTAAATGTAATTGATTGTTATGCTTTAAAAAAAATATTAAATTTATTTCTTCCAAATACAACATTTTAGTGGAAAGAAAGCCATAATTCTCATGGGAACTAACACAGGCTAAACCCCGTGAGAAAATTACTAGACATAATCGACATAATTATCGTGAATTGAAATAGTAGATTCATGGTTTTGCAATTTAAAAAATAATAACAAAGATTTCAATTTCAAAGATGAAATGATCTTTTTATGGTTCCTTTATCATTCTAGAATTGTTTAAGGTTATCTTGGTTTTTTTTGTAATTTTTTACTCCTTGATTGCTCTTTAAAAAGAAAAAAAACACTTAATTATTGGTTAAGAACTTTTTTTATATTCCATATTTTGGAGCACATTATAATGATTATATAGCCCTCGACATCAAAATTCTCAAAATTCTTAAAGCTTGATTATAAAAGCATATTAGTTATTTTATAATTAATTTTTTGTAATAAATATTTGGTCCTAGAAAAAATGTAGTATTATGATCAATAAAAATAAAAATAATAAAAAAATTTGGTTGCACATATCATTCCCTTTGCTATCTGCAGGTGTTGCGTGCAATTGATTCTTGTTATAAAAATTATTGTTTTATTCTATCATTTAATTTATCTTGATATTCTCTTTCTTTCTAAACAGCATATCAGGTTAATAAATTTTTAACTTGATATTGATAACTTTTTTTTTCTTCTCTTCTCTTAAAAATCTGTGTCTAACCCTCCAGATCTGCAAATAAGCCCTTCAAGTTTTTTTTTTTGAGATTTTACCCATTTTTATCTGCAAATAAGCCCTTCAAGTTTTTTTATGATATTTTACCCATTTTTTTATTCATATTTGTTTTGTTTTAATGAATTTCTAAAATTAATATTTTTTCAATTTAATCCTCCTTTAATATTTGGTTCATATATATTTGATTCATATATATTTGGTTCATAGATGAATTTCTAAAATTAATATTTTTTCAATATTCATATAGGTTAACTATATTTGATTTGGGTTGATTAATATATTGTTATTTTTTTTTAAATATCATCCAATATATCATTTTAAATACCACACATGAGTTATTGGACATGCCACTTTAATATAGCCTATTTGATATCTTCGGATCCAAGAATCAACCCTGCATTGTTCACAAAATTTTAGTTTTTTTTTAATCTTTAATTACTTGATAATTTTCACAAGCACAAATTTCATTTTTTATAGTACCAAAAATTCTCTTAGTATTTTAAAAATATTTCATGCAATATATACTAATTTTTATACTTCTTTAACATCTTTACATTTTTTAAGGTTGAAAAGAAAATAATATAATACTCACCGTGGGTCAAAAACTAGATAGAACTTAAGAGACGTGGTCTCCATGGTTGGCTGAGATTTTATATTGGATTAGGGAATTAACACATAAAAGTCGCTATGGTCCCTCCATTTCAGTATGATCACGAAAAGCTGCTCATGTAATTGGGCCTACAGAAGACTTTGTTGTTCATGTGCTCTGCTCATGGACTTGTATAAGATACTGTGGCCTTATACTTGATCGCCCTCTCAACTACTTTATTCAAGTCTGTTAGGTCATGACAGTGAAAGATTACATTTGATTCAGTTGTTTATTTCTGCAGATCATCAATTTTTTTCTAATTTCCCCCAGATAACCACTCACCGAAAACTCTTAAGCAGCCCATTATGTCAGCGGAGAGTGATTTTGTCTTGATAATTTAATACCATGGATTGCCTTTTTGTTTGTTTTAGTTTTCCCAGGTGGCCGGAGTTGCAAAAGGGAGTCAATTGGCCTCCATTTCATTAATGTCACCTTTACTCTTATCTTAATTATTTAGTCTTTCCCGAAAATTGCAAATTTGTTTACATAATTTTAATATGTGTATGTATAAATATAGTCTTTAGACAAAGGACTTGAGAAAACATCCCCCTTATACAAAAAAAAAAAAAATGAAAATGTTAAACTATATGATACGTTTTAATGGTTAGTAGTTAGGTTTTATTGTTTGATCAGCCTTCAAATCCAAGATATTTAGTAATAAGGTTGATATATTAGATAATTGATTAATTTTTAGTTAGGTTTTATTATTTGATCAACCTTCAAATCCAAGATATTTAATAATAAGGTTGATATATTAGATAATTGATTAATTTTTTAGTCAAGATATTTAGCAATAAGGTTAATATATTAGATAATTGATTAATTTTTTAATTAAAGTAATTTAATCTATTTTTTATAGTTAAAATATCCAGTAATTTGATATAAAAAATACATAAAGTTACTCAATAATAATTATAATAGTTAATAATTATAATAGTAGTAGATAATGTCTAGCATGTCAGATAACTAATAGCTATTATTTATAAAAAATCTCATTTAATTAGTGAGAAAACATCCCCCTTATACAAAAAAAAGATTGAAAATGTTAAACTATATGATACGTTTTAATGGTTAGTAGTTAGGTTTCATTGTTTGATGAGCCTTAGATATTTAGTAATAAGGTTGATATATTAGATAATTAATTAATTTTTTAGTCAAGATATTTAGTAATAAGGTTGATATATTAGATAATTGATTAATTTTTTAGTTAAAGTAATTTAATCTATTTTTTATAGTTAAAATATCTAGTAATTTGATATAAAAAATTATAAGATTATTGACTAGTAATTATAATAATAGTAGATAATATCTAGCAAGTCAGATAACTGGTAGCTATTATTTATAAAAACTCTCATTTAATTAATTTAGATTTATTTAATAATAAAGTTATTAATTTTATAAAAAAATAAAAAAATAATTTTAAAAAAATATTTTGAAAATATATGCGCGCTATAATATATCGTGACTTTCTTTCATGCCAGCTAAGCTGACAAATCATAACCATCAGCTTCAGTTTCATATTTTCAGGGTGGGAAATGGGGATTAGTCTAAAGATCGAGGAAGAATATCTTCTCTTCCATGGCTAGGTCATTTTTTTGCTATAAAATACTCACCAGCTCGGGACACATAATTATGAACTGCATTTGAGAGAAAAGCCAGAACCCAAGTGATTATTTCCAAGTAAAGTAATGTCAACTTGGTATCTCCACTGCATTTTAAAATCGCAACTTGTGGCGTGAAACACCGTGCTCAACATCAACTTGTACCTTTCCTTAGCTTTTGTGTCTTCCCGTTCCAAAGACTTACTCTTGACCCTTTTTATCAACACATCATTTTAGAAAAATTAATACTTGTATGCAGTAGTAGTTTGTTAGTATTTAATGAAGATTTCTTTTCTTTTAATGTATTAAAAGATCATAATAAAAAATTCATGGTAAGGACTTGATGTTCTCGGATGTGGAAAACAGAGCTGTCTCCGGAGGCCGCGGGATGTGTTCAAGATTTGAAGATTTTCTTTACATAAAACCTCAAGATTAGGATTTATTGTATTTATTCCAGAAATGGGGACAGAATTCCCGAATGTTCAAGCCGTTGAATGTATATTAAGTTCCGTAAATTGATCTTGTGAAGTACGATCATCTTGGCTTTGCCATTTTAAGAAATTTCCTCCAGAAATTCATTCAAGCATTTGGTTTTACAGTTCCTCAGGTATCCCCTCCTACAAACGTTTAACTATTAAACACAAATCCCCTCAGGTATCCCCTCCTACAAACGTTTAACTATTAAACACAAATCCCCTCAGGTATCCCCTCCTACAAACGTTTAACTATTAAACACAAATCCCCTCAGGTATCCCCTCCTACAAACGTTTAACTATTAAACACAAATCCCCTCAGGTATCCCCTCCTACAAACGTTTAACTATTAAACACAAATCCTAATTGTTTCATACTGCTTATTAATTTCACCAATCTTGCAGCGGTGCATTTAAGTTCAGTGACTCAGACATCAGAATGTTAAATGGCAAAACCTGCTAGCTTCAACATTCCTCCCCAACCACTCCCCCCCACCCCCCGGCTCTACAATAATTACAGTAAAGTATCTTGCAAATAGAGCCCAAGTTGCACCAGTTGGTCCACGATTGTGGAAAATGTGGAGAAAAGACGATATTTCTTGGTCATGCCCACGATGACAACCTTAAGGCTTCAGCAACTTGATTGAAATCTGGGACCCAGCGTTGGTTGCCTTCATCCAAGCAAAAAGCTTGATTGGGTCAGTGTTAGGACTAGTGGGTGGACAGTCACTCTCTACACGCACCATCAAACCGAAAAGCAGTCGAATTAGGCTTTTTCGGGTTATTTCTACAATACAGTCCATCATGCTTGGAAAAACATTATGGTATACCACGTGTTGCAGAACCAACATGCCCAGAAAAGGTCATGCCTGTCGCAACCCATCAGACTACACAGTTGCCATTATATCCTCTAATCATACGGATTTAGCATTTGTTTTTACTAATATGAAGTATGAGCACCCACATCGTGTGAATGCGTTCCCTCCCATAGTGCCTAGTCAAACAATCCTGGTGTGCACCATTCCAGTTAAGCATGATCCTGCCATTCTGTGTGTTACGAGCCCACAAGAGAATTTCATTGCTTGAAATCAGAGGTATGAACATCAAAAAGGAGTGGGAGAAACAAAACTAACAATAGAGGCACTTCGTCACCATGGACAGCAAGACAGGGTTATCACAAATGACAGTTTCCCTATGACCCTTGCCGTTCTCCATGAACCAGGTTTGGTTTTTGCGCTTCCATCATAGCGATAATGATGGTGTTTGCTTCAACACCTTTAAGCTGAATAAAATTTTGCACATTAGTACAATTTGGCCAGCAAATGCACCTTCATCTCTTGAGGAAGCCAAAATTCTCAAGGTTGGACTTCGGAGTAACAGCAACCAATTGACTGCAACATGATTCATGAAGCAGAAATACCATGGTCATGGGAGGAGACATCATAGCCAGATGACACTTCTTGTTTCCTGCCTTTCCTCCCTCTACCGCTGGTTCCTCCTTGAACTCCTCCTCTTACTCCCTTCCCCTTCTTGAAAGATTGCTGGTGTTCCACCTGTCTTCATAACACACAGAAGTAATGTATCAACAAGGCGATTGCAGATGAATAATATTTATTCAAGTGGCATATTTCTGTACTTCAATTCTTCTGCTCTTAATCCAGAACTGACTGCCTCAACTGCAGTGTTGAATTTGATAAGACATCCACAAAAGGGTAATTAGAGATGATAACGACACTTTAAAATAGCGGGATTAAAACTTGATTAATCACGCCTTGTTTGCAAGGATGTTTTGGGATATGATTGTAATGCCGCAACCATAAGTGAACCTGGTAGAGGCTTGTCCTAAACCCATCTCCCATAGCTCCATTTCAATGGTGCAACGATGCAAGACAATATAATAGAAATAGCATAACCTTAACATTATGTGCATTCTTACAACCGATCATAAAGAACTTACTTACCCCTAAACAGAACTTCTCGACATGAGAATTGAAGCCAGAAGAATCATCCACCCTAGTCTTCTTCAAGTTCATATCGACAGAAACACATTTATCATTTGAGTTGAAGCTTTCGCTGTATGACACACAGGTAGTAGCTTGACGGCCAATCCCAAACAAATCCAAATCCTCTTGGAACATCTCCTCGAACAATCCTTGCAATTCCTCAAAGCTCTCCTCCATGTTTTCCTGTTAACTCACATAGCAGCTGATATCAATAAACATACCTGGAGGCATTTCATTACAACACTGCTATGTCAAAAATTAATCATTTACGCAGCACTATCATCAAGGTTTCCAACTTTACATTTGTTAACCATTTCAGCTGATAAAACTCAAATTGAAAACATTTCTTGCATTAGAGCAAATTACAGATTTATTCAACCCTGTTATCTTTCAATTTATCATTTTTCCCCAGATATCAGACTGCGGGTTTGGATTTAGAACACAATTCGCAAATTCTTTTCTAAAAACCTACAAAACTTTTCTTATAGAAACATAAAAGATCAATAATACTTGCATCACAAACAATGTCCGTAACTAGGATTTTTGCATGGTCTAACATTGCATCGTATTTGATCGTATTTTACTGAAAATGAAGCACACAAATCATCCCAACGTATGCTAACTAAATTCTGCATAGCCAGCCAGATACGTTTACCGCCCATCAATTAACTTCACATTTGCTGTACGATGCCAACGTTCATGCGGCCCACAGGCCGAAGGACCCCTCAACAAGTACGGAATAATAGCCCTATTTTTTTGTTGTTTGGGGGGGGCGGGTGCGCGCGAATTTGCTAGAACCTTCCTCAGTGTTTGCCCAGTGAACTGAACGGTCATTGACGGGCCCAATAACATATTTTGAAGGATATGAACAAATATGGCATCATATCACAATAAAAGGCAACAAGGGTTTGGAGTTTTTCTTTTAATCTTCTAAAAAGATTTCTTTCAATTGAAAAAAAAATTATCTTCTTTTTTTATTTCGATCTCCTATATTAACTCCGTTTTTTTCTTTAACATTACTTTTTTAAAAATTATTTTTTTATTTCATCTTTTAACACCATAACCATATTAAATTATTAGATTTTAAGCTTTTCCAATTTTCTTTTACTTTCTTACTTCCGATTGTCTCAATCTTATTATATATTAGATATATGGCGAAACAAATGACAAGTTTTGATTTCATCAAAACATAAGAAAATGGAGTCCCATCAAACCACTAAATGGCGTATGCAAACATTTTTCAAATTAAGAATTTGAATTTGTCTTATTTGACATGATTTGTGAAAATTAACTTTCAATTTTGAGTCATAATTCAAATAAAAATAAGTTAGGAACATATTTGAGAAGAATTGTCTCAAATCATAACCTTTTCATTGATATACTAGAAGTTAGAGCTTTTAACTTTTAATTAAAAAAATCTTATTCAATTTCAAAAAAATTATTTGATTTAACACAATTCGCAAAAAGTATAAATAGTTTTCTCCATTTTTTTTCTAAAAACCAACCACAAAACAAATTAAACACACCAAATGCAACAGGGGATAACGTTGACGTTTGCTCGAGATAAAAAATATTCCATAACTTTAAGGGCGTTTTCATACTTCCCAACAAAGAGGCTTTTTATTGGCCTCTTCTTTGCATTCATTAGTCAACTAAACAGAAGCTAGGATAGCCGTCCCAGATAAAGCTAAGCATTTTCCCAAAATAAAAAAATATAATATATAGATATATATAATTATATATAGATAGAAAATAGAGAGAAATTGAACGAGACTTACATGGGGCTTTGTTTGGCTCATCAAAACAGCCATTTCATTCAGAAATCCACCCATTCCCTGCGCACAACAATTTCAAGAAATACAAGAAACCATAAGTAAAATCACTTACAGATACGTTGACTTTGTTTCGAAACATATTTGAAATATTTTTTAATTCATTGTTTTATATTTATAGATTTTTTATGCAATGATATTAGAAATAATTTTTTTTTAAAAAAATATATTATTTTTTATATAAAAATATTTTAAAAAAACAATCATTATTAAAATAAAAAAATAAGGATGAAGCATACATTCTCGTCGTCTTCACTGTCATAAACACCAACGTCGTAAAGAAACCTCTTGTTGGTGTCGGAAAGAACTGTTAAATAGGAATCACAAGTGTCATATCATAATAAAAAATAAATAATTAATACTAGGAATTACAATAAAGGATTTTCTCCCTTTTTGGCGAGCTATTTTTATTTAAATAAATGATGCGAGTGCAGATTACCAGAATAGGCCTGTTGAATTGTCTGAAACTTCTTTTTAGCTTCGTCAACGAACCTGGGATTTTCCGAAGCTGAACATCGATCTGGATGCCATCTCTGTCCCAAACAAAAACACAGCTTTTTCTTACTTTTCCTGGAAGCACCAATTCACACAAAACCAGTTCCAGAAAAGAAAGAAAAAGAAAGTCTTGTTGTAGCGACTATCTCCTGAAGAAGAGAAGAAGAAATCATACCGTTTCAAGAGATAGAAAAGGAGGAGGCCTGAATAGCATTGGATTTGTTTGTTTGACACTAGAAAGTTTAAAACTTTGTGACCCATTTGATTAAATTACAAGAAATGAAAAACAGAGTGGTCAAATTGTTGCCCATGGCAATTGGCTGGAACCCAGCCAAAAATTCATTTCTTTGTCCTGGCAACCCAATAACAGAGCACAAAGATTTTATAAACAGACGGATCATGAGTAGCTAGCAAGCTTGTTTTGCAATTAGGTAGAAAAGATCCATTGAAAGAGAAGAGGGTGATAGTTAAGGTCTAACCAGTGCAAGTTTCTTATAAGCATTCCTCAGCTCTGTGGCAGTGCAATCCTTATTCAACCCCAAAACCTGATAAAAGTCATTGCTTTTCCCTTTCTCTTCTCCTCCATTTTCCATTCTTGAGAATACACGACAAAAACAAAAGAGCTCAGCAATCCCACGAACAAAACAACCTTAAAACCATTACCACCACAAGATTCTTTCTTGTCGACAAATTGATGATACCAAGCCAAACCAAAATTCTGTCTCTCAGAAAAAGAAAAAGAAAGGAAAAGCCCAAAGAACCTTATGCGTATGCCTACGCTATAACATTAAATTAAAGACAAGTCTGAATGTGCATGAACCAAAACTCGGAACCTTAGCATTAATTTCCGCGCAGGAAAAGATTGATCGAATTGGCAAACAAAAGAAATGTAAAAGCCGCCGCCGCCGCCGCTTCTCCACCCCCCTCTTCTTGGTTATTCCTTACTCTGCTAAGGTTCGAAGAAGAACTCTCCAGAAACCGGTATTTATATAGCTACTTGCAACTTGGGTCTTTTTTTTCGAGTCCTTTTAATTGCCTCTTGGGTCATTTTAATATATGTGCTAAAAATTGGTGCATATTCTGAGATAAGGATTTGGGTAAATTGGACGGTGCAGAGTGAATATGAGTGGTAGATTTGTGAGTGTCCAGAAGGTTCTATATTTACTGTGATCGGTCCCTGTTCACGGAACATTTTGGACATCTGGTCCCACCAACTCGACTGCTACTTGTTAACGCAAACTTAGCGGTGTGTT